GTTTGTAGACCAGATATTGGTGTGACCATAGACCTCCGATCGAGTTCCGTCCCAGAACCGGTTCACACCTTTTCAACAGGCATCGGCAGATTTTTTTACAGTTTAGCGATGAAATTTATTCATAAATCCATCAAAATGAATCAGTTCCTCAATGTATTATTACTGGTTTCAGCGCGACGACATCGCGCAGTATCTAATTCATGTTGTTATTACTGTTCAGATGTGTCTGTGGCTTTGTATTATTCAATTTCGCCGACAACCTTTTCACCGACAGCAACTTTTAGCTCGATTTAGGGCGAATTATGTGGCATAGTGCTGTCATTTTTAGTCATTCCAAATTACCGTTACCTTTCAATGACATAGTTTGAAGAAAAAAGGAAGAGATCTACAATAATAAATATTTTTTAAAATGATGTCATATTCATTTAAGCATAATTTACAGCGGCATATGTGTGACGTAATTTTAACAATATGATCATCAATACATATAGTACTACCTTATAATTATCTCTAAATCGATTTCACTCATCTCTTTCAAATTATTTCTTGTTATTCTTGTTATTAAAAAAAAAAAAGATGGCCAGATATAGTGCATCTGATATCTTGTTAATGGTAATGGCTTTTATATTGCCACCGGTTGGAGTTTGTTTGAAAAGAGGATGCTGTACTGCGGATTTTTGGTACATTAATATATTTTTTTTTGGTTTTTGGTTCTTATTTTATGAAAGCCGATATTTAGTACTTTTTTTAAAATTTAAACAATAGGATCAATGTTGGATTGACGCTCCTAGGTAAAATTTAAATTTAAATTTACATAATTACAGTAGTATAGATAACTTTTTTTTTTAATCTTATTATTCTTATTATTTAAAATTAGGATTCATCCCAGGTTAGGCAAAGCTATAAAACATATTAGCAATTATAATTTAAAAACGTATAACTTTTACAAATATATTTATCCATTCATTTATTCAAGGTGTTTTACATGCATTTTGGATTATCTATCAATATCGTGATGAGAGTGTACCAGACAATGAAGCAGGGGCAACCTTACCATCGAGATCTAGAAATGTAAATCCAGACAATGAATCTGGGTTAACCTTGCCATCGAGGTCTAAAAATGTGGGTCCAGATAATGAAGCAGGGGCAACCTTGCCATCAAAGTCTGGAAAGTAATATCTTTCATTCTACTGGCTTGTAAATATTTATTGGACCGCGCAAATAAAATTAATTTGTTCTAGTCACCCGTTCGGGTTAGACTTTTTTTATAAAAAGTAAAAATATATAATATGGTTATTTTGTCATGTTCAATTGATGTCCAATTAGAATAAAAAATTATATGATATATTCTTTGTTTAATTCTAAACATTTTTGCTTAGCCAGTTTTTAAGTCTAAATTAAGTTATCTGTGATTTCACCTGTTAAACAATCAGTTCAACAATCCTGGTCGATCTTTAAAAATCCTGAATTCGTGAATCACAAATCAGAACTATTTTAGTTAAGTTTTCTTAAATGAGTGATTACTTGTATGTCATAATTAGCGAATTATTTATTTTTGCTACAGTAGGGTTAGCCTGATTTAGAGTTAGTGTTGAGCTAGGTGTTAGTTTTCGGGGAAATGACTATTGATGAAACGATCATTAGGGAAACTAGTTAGATTTGGTTCATGTAGTGCATTGTCAATTCAGAACTGAAACAGTATTTTTAAATACTGTAGTTTAATATAATCTAGTTAAGTATAAAGATCAGCAAATCATGAACACAGTCTTTTTAACATTGTAATTAGCCAATAAGATTTTAAATAACTAAGGACCATTTTTTGGACCGATGAGACTGAGATGCACTAAAAAACATTATCGATAATGAATTGGTCTTATTAGAAACCGGTACTGAACATGACTAATCCATCCTTATTTTTATTTAAACCTTTTGTTTTTTTTTTTTTTGAAATTTATATCATTTTTTAATAGTGCTTGGATCCGGATGTCTAACCGGATATCCTAATTCGGATTTACAAACGGATATTATTGAGCTATCCGGTTTACCAGTATCCGATTCGATTTCGGTATTATTAGTATTCTATCCGAAGAAATTTTATTCTAGCCAGCTACAATCACGTGGAAGTAAATTTTTGTACGTACGTACATAATGGGCCGTTTGGATTTTAAACTTCGTTTTAACAATATTTCTTTATATTTGTCCAGAGGGGAGATTAAACAAACATTAAAATTAAACGAGGTTCAGTAGGTTCAAGTAAACCTAAATTAGGTCGTGCTCATTTTTAATGTTGATTGTCTAGCTTTCCGAGACTTACCGATTTGCCTCAAATTTTTCAGCAATACTCCAATGTTTAATTTTTTGTGGGGGATGCAAAGGAAATCACATTAAACGAAGTTTTAAATTCAAATGGTCATAAATGTAGAGATGTGAATCGGCCTTGCAGCAATTGTCAGCCGACTTTGTGTAAGCTTTTCTATAACTTTACTTATTATCCGAAGACAATCAAAAATGCACAAAGTCAGCTGGTTATAATCAAATATCCGGGATTTATAATGGTTTAAACCAAAATCCGGATTTATCATCCTCATATCAAAATGAGTATCCGTTATCCTATTCATATCCGGATATATCCGGATTTAGAAAACCGGAATCCAATGAGAACCAATTAATTTTATTTGTCAAACAATGATTAAGTAATAAATACTTTAATTTCTTGAGCACAAAAAACTCTAACAATTTTCATATTATAAATTAAAATTAAAAATTTGTTTTTAGAGAATTTTGTATATAGAAAAATTCATATATAATATTTAATGTTACCATTTGCGGAAGAGGATACACAAAAATAATGATTACCGTTACCACGTTCATTACGTTGACATGAATGTTTCTGTATAAATACGTAATGAGCTTTTATAAGATTATATGCACCCCTGAAATTGTGGGTTGAAAAATTAAAGGGAGTAAATACTGAAATACGTAATACAACTACGTAGTTATAAACGAATAATAATGGTTTATCTGATAACGTAAAAACCTGTTACTTATCATTATTGAAATTCTTAATACAACCCGAAATTTAATGTTTCACAGCTACATCATACGTACAAGTCATAAAAAACATTTATCACTAAAAATGGTATAGACCGATAAATAAACGATAAGGAGTAGATTTGGTCATTAATCTTAGAACTGAATTTATTAGTTACGTATCAAATTATTCTGATAAAATGTATGCGCGCGAAGCCTTTTTCGACGCTTGTGTCACTCATAGGAAAAGGTCCTCGTGAGAATCAACTTTATATTAATTAGGAATTCTATAATATCGAATATACCGCTAATTACAGAATTACGATATGTCGTACGTATACACATTACCGAATTTAACCATTTTCAAAGAAAATAAATACAAATATAGCAAGTCATGATACCAAGAATTGTGACAATAATAATAAATATTCAGAATGATTATAAATTCACATAACGTACGATTTATATGACAGAATTTTATAACTTTTTCTTTTTAAACTTTTTTTTTAAACTTTTCTTCTTTTAAAATGTTAGGACACGATTGGCAAGCAGCAGGACCAACTGATAAAAGGTCAGCATGTCCTGGACTAAACGCATTAGCTAATCATGGATATTTGTAAGTTATTTATTTTCCTTCAAGTTTTTTTTTTTAAAAAAAAAATACTTTTAATAACTGATTAATTGTTGTATTAGGCCTCGAGATGGTGAAAATATTACGGCACAACAATTAATTAAAGCTGTTCAAGATGCCTATAATGTATCAGCAGCTGTTTCAACTGCTTTAACATATAATGCTTTGGTTTCGTGTGGATTACTATTTAAAAAGACATTGTATGTAAAAAAAAATTATTGAAATGATTTTATTGGAAATATTCATTTTATAATTATATATTTAATTATTATATTTTTTATTTTTTTTTTTTTATTTTGAAGCGATCTGAAAGAGATATCAAAACATAATGGTGTAGAACATGATGCGTCACTAACCCGAAAAGACCATTTTTTTGGTGATGAACTCAAAATTGATAATGAATTAATTGATTCATTACTTGATATGCAAATTGACGGAAAAATCAACATTGATGTATTAGCAAAGTATCGTCAAATTCGATTAAATCATTCGAAAGAATTTAATCCAGAAGTTGTATATGGAATTAGGCAAAAAATTCTTTCTGCTGGTGAAATAGCATTATTATTGCTTGTTCTTGGAGGAAATACTGATAATGAAATTGATATTGGTTTATTAGAAACATTTTTAAAAGATGAAAGAGTTCCGGATGGATGGAGAAAACCTGATAAAGTTGTTGGAGTTGTGGAACTTTTCAATAGTAATTCTGAAATCATGAAAAAGTATGATGAGTTAGAAAAAATGCATGCTCAGAAGGGTAAATAGTTGATTTAATTAGTTTTTAATTACATGTTTTAAGTTTTTGTGTTGCATATATCTATTTCTTCAAATTTGTGTTGCTTTAAATTACCCTTTTCACTTCTATTATATTTTTATATTTTAGCTTGTATTTTTTTTTATATTAAAAAAAACAATATATGTACAATATTCATTAAATATTATTAAATATTAAATATTATTACATTTAGTGCAAACATTGTGAATGTTTATAATATCATTTAAAATATATTTAATGACCAGTGATGTTTTCATAAATTCTTGTTTTAGCTTTTCGTCATGTTGCTAATACTATTAATAAATACAATGATTTAGTCAAACTGCATCGAGTTTTAACTTAAACAAGAATGTATTAATATTTCATCTACCATTAGTATCAATATCAAATTATTGAATCTTACTATCTCATTTCAGAAGAATTTTATTATAATAATATCATCAAATTAATATGATTCAAACTCTGCTAAGTCAATTCAGATTTTGTTTTATTTTATATATTGAATAAGTCTTTTAAATATAAGATATAATTAATATAAATCTTTAAGTTAACCGGTATTTGTTTTTATTATATCAATCGGTGTGTAGCTAACTTACACACATATATCCATACAAAAACTATAATTAATAGAAAATATACAGAAAACCACTTCATAGTACAGTAGTAGTAGGATAGTAAAATGGAAATGACTATTTTTTTTCAAATGAACTCAGAATGACTAGTAATTCTTGACTACAGTATTTGAATTTTGGTCATTTGGCAAATGACATGACCAAGTGACCCCGGATAAATCAGACCGGACGATCTACGGACAGTTCTTAGGGACAGTGCAATGACCAGAATTAGATTTAGGGTTAGGGTTAGAGTAGGTGTATATTGGTAATGTCAGTCACATAGCACTGTCCCTAAGAACTGTCCGTAGATTCACCGAAATCAGGCAATGATAACGTGACTTTGGGACCCCAGCCTTCACGTAACAAGTGATAACCCGAGATAACCATTTTTTGTAATTTATCTTTTAAAGCTACAAAATTTCACTGGTCCATTCTAGAATTGGATGGCAAGCCTTGATTTTGTGCGATTCCCCATTTGATAGCATGATTCCAAATTTTTACTTTTTAAATTTGTAAATTATCTTGACTAATAAGAGAGAATAATACATTTTCATGAAGTTAAGTAAAATCTTCAGAGTCAAAAATTATATTTGGATGCTTTCATTGCACCATTTTTGTAATTTTTGAATTTGATTATCTTGGAAGCTTATCTGATAAATATTTGTAAAATTTAAATGAAGCTAATTAGCTTCTTTTCAATTAGGTATGCTTCAAGATGTTTAACTAATCAATTAGTGAAGTGAAAAATGCGCATTAATGCGGACGAAATGTTTCACGCGCATGATATCGCATGATAAAAAATACAAAAAAAAAAAAAAAGATTGAGAAGAGAGAAATCTTGATGGGAAAAATGTACTTGATTCGGCACACATGAAATCCATCTTTATTATAGATACTAAGTATATTATTGAAATATATCTTAATAATCGTTTCAAATTTCTGAATAGAGAAATGGTTTAAATTAATCATTTTGATATTATCTTGTGTTTGCTAAGTTTTTATAATGGTTCAATATCATTTCTGGTTTAAAAGTGATATATTATATGTGCATGCATAGCCTAGCTTTGTGCGACTGTTTTATGACTTGTGACGTATTCATGCAGTAATTTTTATAGAATAGGTACAGTAAATGAATTCTATCGTCTATTCTTATTTTTTTTAAATCATTATCTAAGGCACAATATTAACCCAATAATTAATAGCTAATTCAACTAAAATGTAGGACAAAGAAGCTATATTTTCTTATATTCAATAATAAAATTCATTATTTGAATAATTATTAATTTTTTCATTTTTTTTCATTTATCAATAAAACAAAGTGATATTAGTTCACTATATGAAATTGCTAAAATGACTAGCATTCTTAATCAACTGAATTTTATTGATTGCCAAAAGCATGCTGAGATAGGTGGTTCGGACGGAGTGTTCTGGCTTGGTTATTGTTATGAATATGGAATTGACGTTGAAAAAGATGAAAATCAGGCATTCATCTATTATAAAAAATCTGCGGATATGAATAATTCTAACGGAATGTATCAAGTCGGTTATTGTTATTATTTAGGAATTGGGGTCGAAACAGACAAGCATAAAGCATTTATATATTATCTAAAATCAGCTGAGGCAGGTAATTCTAAGGGAATTTTTAAAACAGCCATTTGTTATAAATATGGAATTGGCATAGAATATGATTATAAGAAACACGACAATTGGATTCTAAAGTAAGTTATCTGTTAGAATTAAATTTCCAATTTAAGATTAAAATTAAATATTTCTCGAAACTATTTGGTTTTTTAACGTAGAGAGTAAGTATTATATCAACTATTATATTAAAATCAGAATTCAAGTTCATACTAGCTATCCATTATTAATATTTATATTCTAGTTCGTGAGTATAAAGATCATTTATTAATTAATTTATATAATTAAAATCTGCAATTCATGTTCATAAATATTTATTTATTAAATAATATTTTTTATTTTATCATAATTTAGTCTGTGAGTATAAAGATTATTTATTAATCTATGTCTGCAATTCATGTTTATAAATATTTACTCATTAAATAATCTTTTTATTCTAGTTCGTGAGTATAAAGATATTTATTAATCTATGTATTTAAAATCTGTAATTCATGTTCATAAACATTTGCTCATTAAATAATCTTTATAATTTAGTCGGTGAATATAAAGATTATTATTAATCTATATATTTAAAATCTGCAATTCATGTTCATAAATATTTACTCTTTTTTATTTTATCATAATTTAGTCGGTGAATATAAAGATCATTATTAATCTATGTATTTAAAATCTACAATTAATGTTCATAAACATTTACTCATTAAATAATCTTTATAATTTAGTCGGTGAATATAAAGATCATTATTAATCTATGTATTTAAAATTTGCAATTCATGTTTATAAATATTTACTCATTAAATAATCTGTTAATTTAGTTAGTGAGTATAAAGATCATTTCTTAACCTATGTATTTAATATCTGCAATTCATGTTCATAAATATTTACTAATAAAATAATCTTGTTATTTTAACATAATTTAGTCGGTGAGTATAAAGATCATTTATTAATCTATGTATTTAAAATCTGCAATTCATTTTCACTCATAAAATAATCTTTTTATCATAATTTAGTCTGTAAGTATAAAGATTATTTATTAATCTATCTAATTAAAATCTGCAATAAATATTTACTCATAAAATAATTTAGTCTGTGAGTATAAAGATCATTTATTAATCTATGTATTTAAAATCTGTAATTTATGTTCATAAATATTTACTCATAAAATAATCTTTTTATTTTATCATAATTTAGTCTGTGAGTATAAAGATCATTTATTAATCTATATATTTAAAATCTGCAATTCATGTTCATAAATATTTACTCATAATCTTATCATAATTTAGTATGTGAGTATAAAGATCATTTATAAATCTATGTATTTAAAATCTGCAATTCGTGTTCATAAATATTTATCTTATTAAATAATCTTTTTATTTTATCATAATTTAGCCGGTGAGTATAAGGTCATTTAATTAATCTATATATTTAAATTCTGCAATTCATGTTCATTACTCATTAAAATAATCTTTTATTCTAGTGAGTGAGTATAAAGATCATTTATTAATCTATGTATTTAAAATTTCTATTAAACTTTTATTTTGTTAATTTAGCCGGTAAATATAATAAATTAATTGTATTCAGAGTTTAGGAATCGCATAAATTACTATAAATAACTAATATATAAAATATTTTAAAGTGATTCTCAATATGGAAAATGTGAATATTGTAATGAAAATAACACAAATAAAATGTGGTGTCAAATATGTGATCCCGACAAGATAATCCAAGAATGGACAAGTAGAAATAAGATTATTGATGACTGTTTAAAAGGATTTCAACTTAGAGCTAATGCGTATGAGAAAGTAATTGAATGGATTCCATTTGATAGACTAGATAATATTGAATATATTGGTAAAGGAGGATTTAGTTCTGTATATTCAGCGTTCTGGTTGGATGGTATACGAAAAACTGATGGTTATAGAAGAGTGCGTGAACCTGGAATTGTTGCACTCAAGTCCTTGTCTGGTTCTAATGAAAACCCTCTCGATTTTTTGAAAGAAGTAAGTAGGAATTCTGCAAGTGCTGGACACAGTACTATTAAAACAGTTCTCGTACCGGCATATGCAGAACCCTTGAAAATAAATTATTATATACATGTATTTTGAACTAATTTATTTATATAAATTTATCAAGTTTAAAAATCATATGAAATGCAATTTATTTGGTAATAAGTTTGCAATATATGGAATAACTCAAAATCCAAAAACCGATGAATATTTAATGGTATTGCAATACGCTGATAATGGAAATCTTCATAAGTATTTAAGTACAAATTTTAGAGAACTTACCTGGCATATTAAATTAAAACTACTTCAGAATATTTCAACAAATTTACATTTTATTCATGACTCAAGATATATTCATGCAGACTTTCACAGTGGCAATATTTTACAAGATCGACATATTAGTAAAGAAGTGCAATCATACATTTCAGATCTAGGATTGTCTAGGAAGGGTGATGAAAATACATCAGGTGATATTTATGGAGTTATGCCCTATATAGCTCCAGAAGTTCTATCAGGCCAACAGTTTACACAAGCTGCTGATATTTATGGATTTGGAGTTATCATGTCAGAGGTGTCGACTGGACAAAGACCTTTTGATGGTTATAAATTCGATATTAGTCTTGCGATAAAGATTTGCAATGGATTGCGGCCAGAATTTGCTTTTGGAACTCCTAATTGTTACATTAAATTTGCTAAGCAATGTATGGATTCAGATCCACAAAAACGGCCTTC